ACGTCCTCCACCCCACTGAGCGGCTCCATCCCAGTTCTTGCCATGAACCATGATTGGTGAAACTGACTAGGGACCATTCATGCAAGTCGGTCCGACCTCTCCGTCGGTGATTTGGAAGGACGGTGATTGTGAAATAGGTTGTGCAGCGGTACCACCATCAATGGGCTCCCTGGACTCTCCGGCTGGACTTCTCGCGGGACTCCCACCATGGGCTCCACGGTCAGCGTGCCATCGCTGGTTTGTGCCTGCCGCCAAAAACACGCACGAAGCCAGGTAGCAGCATGGGTGTTATTTCACTGCTGGTGAGTTTTGAAGGAAATAGGGTGTCCACTCCAAACATGCAACAACAACAACAACAACAAATATCTGAACCTCTCAGTTTGCCTGGAGAAGAAAGGTTGGCCTTTTTCCACCGCTTGGATTTGAGTGACTGTGTCTCCCCGCTCCCCCGGTTTACCGGTGATGTGTTGCAGGTGATCCACTCCTCCGTAGGCCATGATACACCGTGACTGTTCCGCACGGACCCCTGATCCACTGAGCTGCCCCGGCCAGGACGTCGACCAACCTCCAGCCGATCTCTTCGGTACCTCCCAAGAGGCAGGCTACAGGGTCGACCCCGGGGTCGGTGCAGCACCCTAGTCCCAGCAGGTCCACGAACTGGAGCCGATCCTGCGTTTTCGGAACCAATCAGGTCCAGTGCAAATCAGGTCCAGTCAGGCGGCTGCAGGGTTTCATTCCCAAACCAGGGCCACCTCGATTAAGCCGCTGAGCGGCTTTCGGGTGTCGGACGGCAGGGATCCGTCATGAGATGACCATAGTTTGGGCCTTATAGCAAATGCTGGTGCTGATGGTTTGGGCCCCCAAAAGCCATTCATTGGGTCTATCCAATTAATTACCAATAATCGTTGAGGACTATTTTTAGGTTGCAGGATGTTGCAGGTCTTGTTCGTGCTAGTGATGTTCTGGTTTGCCGACTGCTACAGGTTATAGGAAGGGCGCCCCACTGGGGCATACTGGGCAGTCATGACCTTTAGCACCCCGAACTCCGGCACCACCCGTGCCGGCGTTGAAACCCAAATGCTCCTCAGCCGCCGCCGTGCCGGGCGCCTCCCCCGCCGAAGCAGTTCTTGTGGATCTCTGTCTTGTAGAGGCTTGACAAAGGTACCTCCGAACAACTCCCGCGGGGTGGACCAAGTAGAAACTGAACGAAAAAGCACCTACAGTAATGGAGACGAATAATTGATCAAACCCACTCCATTTGGATTCCAAAACCTTTTCATATGGGGGCTTGGAATTGAATCAAGAATCAAAACAATATATATATATATGCCTATGGAAACCGGAGGGGTGCACATTACTGAGGTCACCTCCTAAAACTTACTTTTCAACTAGTCTTGCTTGAAACGGCATAAATCTGGCGCGAGGCGGGAGTTTTTGGAGGTTTATGGTGTTGATGAAGATTGTGCGGTTGAGAAGTTAGGGCTTCAAGCTAAGAGAACACATCTATCAAACTCCAGGTTGGAAACCCTCTGTGGACGATGTTTCAAAAAATGTTTGAAACGGCATAAATTTCACAACCAAATGGCGTAAATTCCCAACCAAACGGCGTATTTTTTTAGTGCTTTTTTGATCTTTTTTGGAGGGTTTAAACATAATTAGCTTGAAGGCCTTCCTGCGCATTTTCGGCGAGCTTCCTGGAGAACACATCTATCTCACAGGCCTGAAATAGGCAACCCGCTGAAACGCAAGTCTCTGTTTGAAACGGCTGAAAGTCTTCAAGCGGAAGCAATTTATTGAGGCTGATGAGGCGGAAGAACTTGTGTACCATGCCACGTCTCTAGGCATAAATATCATGAGTCAACATGTGTCATCTCTTGAGCGAGGTGCAGTGGGCCACGACTCGTCCACGAATCTGAACCTTCGGACTTTCGGACCCTGGTCTGTGGGCGATCGACAGGGCTGTTTCAACCTCCGGTGCCCGCGGGCATTTGGAGCAAAGAGGCGAGCCGAGGCAATCGAGTGTAGCCCACGAAGGGACCAGATCCCTGCATCCCTCCATCCCTCTATGTGTGCCATAACTTGCCCACCTTGGGGGATGCTTTGTCTGGGGGTCTGGCTGTTTGGCACCCGGCGGGTCTTGAAAACGACGACCGGGGTCACTCCGTTGCCGTCTTTACAGCACTCGCAGCGTGGGTCGTCGAACCTCCGTCCGCTGCCACGAAACGCGGCCCGAGCAACACGACCGTACCGTCGGTACGTGGCCCCGTGTGGGTGTAGAGCAACACGACCGAGTTCATGTCATCATCCGAGTCTTCGGGGTCATCCAGGTCACCCTGATTCCGAGTGTACTGGTGATGTGTGCCTCATGGATCCTCCTCATGGATCCTGATGAGGTTCACAACCTTCAGCTTGGCAACTGACGGAGGCCAATCAGATTCCATGAGCAGATCTTCTATACCTCCCCGAAACAACCATGGAAGTGGAGAAAGCCCTGCTTGTAGAGGAACATTTTCTTTCCACCGGCGAGTGTTCCACTTCCATGATTGTTTCAGGGTATGCTGTATGCCTCACATACGATTTACCACATGAGGGTTTCGCATCCCCTATCGCTCGTGCTCGTGTCCTGCCGTGTCAGGATAGTCATCCCTATGTGGTTGAGAATGTCCTGCTTCGACCCCCCAGCTTGGTGGATTGAAACTTGTGGCGCATCTTGTGGCGCTTCCATCAGGCCATCAACTTCCAAGATTCTACTTAAAGATCCTCCAGACAGCTTGCGCACTGGAAAGTGATATAGTCAATATTAGCCAATGCAAATACATGCAAACAATACTTGGACAAGTCACACATTGTAGTAGACTCTTGAATTGCCCTTTTTGATGGTGCATATGTAAGTGTATATACATATATACACAAGACAGCACAATTCAATACATTGGGTACATCCCATTCCCCGTAGCAGTGGATGATAATGGTTAGTAAAGGCCTTCCTATAGAATAGTGATAATTGTTGACAGACTGTTGCAAGCAATGGGGCATCCCCAATCAATACAATACAATTGCATACATATGCACAAACATACATACAACTATAGTTATAACATTCTTTGACATTCTCGCTATCTGTGACTTTAAGCCGCCAGCCTTGCAGTTATAAGATAACATATGCAGTCGAAACCACCATCGAAGTGGAACATGACGGCAGCCATGAAGTATGCGTGGCAGTATGGAACTGTGTGACATATTCCTGAAGGATGTGTCGGTTCTGGACATTTCACCAACAAGATCTGGATGTGAGAATTTCGGCGGAAAGCAGAAATACTGTACTCCTTCGCACACACCACGACTGGTAAGAACATGTAACAACCTGTACTGTAACGACCTGCAAGACCAAATTGCTTGGATTTGCTGTCCAGTGGGCTGGAACAAATTCAAGGGTTCACCCAGTACAGGGAGAAAAAGACACCTAATCACAACCACAAATACACCAAAGCCAAGACAATGGCGCACCCTCCTTGGTGGATCGCAAGGGGGGGGGCGAAGAAGGTCCCTCACACCCCTCAGGCCCCAAGCCAGCGCTGAGCAACTCCTGACAGCTCTCGGCCTGGGGATTTGGAGGGTCGCCAGCTACAGGGCTGTCGGTCCGCTGTGAGGAGCTGTCTGGGACGTCTTCCGCGTGACTCGTACAGAAGGCGTTCCGGTGCCAAATGCCAAAGGTCTGGCAGGATCTCAAAACGGAGGGCCGTCTCGACACAGCTGTCTCGTCTTTGATCGGAGGTCTGATTGCAGGTTTGCTCACTGAAGGAAATAGCGAAAGAAAAGAATTCGATCACCTCACAAAACATCCCTCAGGGTCGTCAAGGACATGGCTTTAATCAAGGGGTGGCCGTCTGCTGGTCTGCAACTTCAGGACATCCCTTTCTGCCTTCGTAGGACCCGGGGAACCAGTGAAGCCATGACTTCACGCCCCTCCACACCCGACCTAGCACCCAGCATGACTCAAGGCCTCACGTCCTGGAAACTCCTGATATGAGGACTGTCCTGCATCCTGAGATGTCCTGGCCTCTTGCTACTGGTTGTCCTGGGAACAGACTTATGGCATGGTGAAGTCTTCATCATGTTTCTTTAAGGTCTTCTAGGTGTAAGTGCCACATACATTCCCAATCATTTGCCGTTCGGTGTCTGTCACCACTGAAGGTCAGTTGGCCTGAGAAGTGTGTTTTCAAACAAGCTAGGTGAAGCCATCTTCACGGCAAAATCACAACAAGAGTGAGTCGGAACTGGAGCCTCACTCATCAACCTGAAACCTGGCTCTTGAAAGGTCATGACCCAACTAAACCCAAAGGGCCGGCTGGTCACACACATTCAACTCATCGGCATCTGCGCCTGGTGATTCCCCCGCCAAGGGAACACATCAAAACATCGTGTATTCTTCAGAATTTCATCGACAAGAACAGTGCTACCACACAAATACGTGCAAATTGATTCTCCCCATCCTGTTGGGATGATCGACAATGAAAACCTTTCACCACACGGAGGGATTTGAGCTCGAGCCGTTTCTTAAACAAAGACATCTGAGTTGATGACTTGATGACTGCTGCTTGAGAGTCCCCCCAACATGTGTTTTGATCACATCACTCACTTTGCTTATCCAACATTATTGGATCTCACATCGTCTTCTGGTGTTTGCACCAGGCCCAGGAGTCCCAGGCAGACATGAACGAGATTCCTCATCCCAAATTTCCCAAACAAGATTCATGTAAGCGATGGCCATGGACAAAATCTAGCACAGGATGTTACAGGAACCTCTTAGGGATGCTCATGGTCGGCCCCCCTTCTTCGCCAAGAACATTTTTGGGCCGAACCATGCCATAAGTATGTAGATTTCAGTCCTCATATCGTGCCGGGGGCGCCTGGTTGACCTAGTTGTTAGTGAGCATATCCCAACCCACCCCACATCAAACTACACTCCGAAGCCCACAGCCGCCCCCCTGAGCCCGCGGTTTGTTCCACGCGCCAGCACCGGAGTCCAAACCCAAGGCGTTCTCGCCAGCAAAAAGCAAAGCTTTGGGTCGCCTGTTGATTCCTCCACTTTTGGGGGTTCATGGGGACTTCCCCCATGCCCATCAGCTACAACTTGCAGGTCTACCCACACTCAGTAGGTCTAATGATCTCTCTCCAACAATGCTTGCTTCTCTCCGGCCGTAAGCGGTGCTTGCTGCTCCAAATACTCGGCTAAGTCCTCCCGACTCTCAATCACCTCATCCAACGTGGCGGCGCCCATCTCCTGAAGCGATAAAGACCCACCCGAGGTGGCACAGCTGCTGGGTGACACAGCTGCTCACCCAAGGCAAGCAAAGAAGCCCGGAGTAGATGGAACATGTGCATGTGTATATTATACGTATATTATATATATATCATTAATTACACACGTTATATGTGTATATATATATGTATATATATATATATATATGTATATTTGTTTTATTAGATTATCATTGATTACACATGTTCCATCATGTTCCCGGATGATGCTTGGGCTGTAGGCAAATCCAGGATATTCCAGTATTCCGTGATCTCATCAACATCAAAGCCGACAAAACCCGTGTCCACGGGTCCTGGCATCCTGGCACCCCGGGGAGGAAAAAAAAACAAAACTGGCATTGGGCACCCCTCTTCTCAAAACGAACCAACACCAACCAGTAAACATGTGAACCGACATCATGATCAACTTAATGTAGACTCTTGATTACTAAATCCCCCATATTCCAATTCAAATGGGGGGGTTGTTTATCAAGAGTCTACATTACCTTGCTTTGGCTGCTCAAATGATCCGCCAGGTCCAAGGTCGCCCTAAAACCGAGAAAGTCTGCGTCTCCTGGCACCAGCCGTTGGCTTCTTCAAGACGATCCTCCAAGCAAAGCACCAAGAGCCAGGTCCGCAGTCCTTCCACGGCTTCCGGAATAGCATAGTAATCCTGCGGCAAGAAAGCCGGAGGGATGATCAACGAAGCTTTGCGACCTGGTACGGCAACGGCGTTGCACGTGAGTGGTGCACATGTGCGACAAAAGACCAGGTGCGGCAATAGGCCGCCATCGAAGTCGCCAACCCTCGAAAGGCCATTGCTTTTTCAGGTGGGACCTGAGTCTGAAGAACCACCCCACAGTCCCACAAATTTGATGCCTCTAAGAAATGATACAAGTCAAGTGGCCTGGACCTCCACAGGCCTTCTGGTGCTGGAACTTCTGGTGCTCTGGGCTTGCGGGGATGCGTCGCACCACTCCCACAGTTCGGACGGTGTGCCTGCAGTCAATCTGAAACCATCTGTAAAGTCTGCAAAACCAGGCCATTCTCACGCCTTCACGCCTTCACCCCATCCCATCCCAGTTCCCCCCCCCCCCTTCCGAACGCCGAAGGGGCCTTCACCTGCCCGGTTTTTCCCCTCCACGCCCCGTCGTCTCTCGTCCTTGGGCTTGGTGAAGTCTCGATTGCTCATGGCCTCCGCGTCGCTGGCGTCCTCGGCGAATTCGCGCTCGCCAGGCGCCAGCTGGAACTGGAGCTTGGGGCCTCGGCGCACCGAAGGCAACGAAGAGCCCTCCCCAGCGGCCCAGAGGGTTGAGATGATCCACTTTGGGGATCTTCTGGTGTCCTTTCTGTTTGGCTGTGATTGGAATACATACAGTACTAGTTCGATCATGTTCGATGTATATGTGTTTTTACGGAATATTCATTGTCATATTCTGACTTATTCGTCAGGACAATGAATTGTACAATGTTTGAAGCCCTGTTCATGTTCAATAGCTGACATCACTCTAAATGACAAACATGCAGTATAATGTTTCCTGTTTTGAGCTTTCCTGGTACCCAAACAAACTTGGAGTGTACAGTGTACACAGCTATATATGCTCCAATCTGCTCATGGTGTTCACGTGAAATCCCACTTGATCAAAACAAGTGCCAGCCAGGCCTGCCAGTCATTTAGATGTTTTCACGTGATGCCACTCCCAAATGCCAAGCCATGCTTGAATGCTTGATTCATGGCTGTGTGAATAACAGGGGGGGGTCTTTGAGCTCATTCTATAGGTATAAAACGGTTGTGCCAACCTCCCAATGTGAATAAAATTGTGCAAGTAGAAATTTGAGGGTCCTATAAAGTGAGAGGTTCAATATCATTTTTGATAGCTGCATCACTACTGTAACTGTTTTTGATCGCTGCGTTCCAAAATTCTGCCCCTCAGTAACTGCCTAAATCTTTAGATGTTGAAAACTGAAAGACTTTGTGAACCACCCTCACAAAAACCTCAAATCACTATAAAATGACTCGCCTGACCCGCCCAGTGAGCGGGGTATTAGACGTTTTATATGAGGGCTATCCCCCCTCATTTCATAGAGGAAATTGACATAGCCATCTTGAAACTCAGTTGGTGGTGCAGCTGATAGAATTCTGTACCAGCACCTCTATCCTCCAGATTCTCGTGCCTCGTCATATTGCCTCATATACTTTTGTCTTCCAGCGTGGCCAACTGCTGTCCCATCCCTCCCCCTCCCCGGCCGGGTCACAGGGCACCAAGAGCTTCCCCTTCTCGGTGAAGCGCGCGCGGGCGCGGAGCCGTTGGGCACCCTGCGCCTGCGCCTTGCGCGCCACCAGGCGCATGAGCAAGTCTTCCACCTCAGGACCTTCTTTGAGGCAGTCATGGCCGATGCAGAAGTGGACCTCGACTCGCGGCAATGCTGGGAGAAGCGATTTACTTGCTGCACGTGTTGGCAGGAGAAGGGTCACAGTGAAGAATTGTATTTCATCTGGAAGCAGTCTAGCACCCAGTCCCGGCCCGTGGCCACACATTGGAGTGACAGTCCCGGTCTATGCTTGAAGTGCTTGCTTGCTTGGGAACTCCTTTCCAAGCAGTGTGGCTCCAAAACTCAACGCTGATTGAGCTTTGTCAGACTGCAATCCTGGATTAAGTGGAAATCATAGGACTCGAAGCGGTGCGCGAGTTCGCGCACCGCGCCTCCGCTAGGCCGCTCTCTGGTTCTTGTGTCCACATCGCGAGTGCACTGCCTTGAGAGCTCACTAGGCCTTGGATTGGCAGGGTTCCCTATGGACGCCCAGTAGGGTTTGGTGACCCCAAACAGAGGGAGCTACTTGTAGATGGGCATTGGAATAAGGAAAACCTTACTCCGACCACTGGCTTCACAGTAACTTTGCATTTCCTCTCGAGCCTGGGGCCGTCTCCCTTTTCAACAAATGCCCATACCGTCATACCGTTGGTTCCATAGAGAAAAGGCGGATCTCCAGGCTAATTTGGTGGGCTGGCGAGGTCTATATATGGTCTCAAACCAGAAGTTTATTGTCAGAGAAGGCTTTTGCACAGGTCTGCTGGTCTAATCCCTTCATGGAGAACTGAGAGGACCCTCCAAAAATACAGCTTCACTCGGGGGCCATCTCTTTGAATAATATCGCACGCATTTGGTATGAATTTCTCAACACCTCCAAAACCTCCGGTCATAAAACACAGCTTTTAATTCAAACCAAACTTACAGTACATCTTCTAGTAGGAGGATAGATGTTTCGAGGTCCACAGGCCACATGGGAACGGAGGATTTGCCGTATCCAAAAGTGTTGACTGTGTCAGAAACTATCCACGTCGAGTCTAGTGTGTGTGTTTTCCAAAGTTCTTCTAAGATTCACAAGTTTTGCACATGTTTTTTTCTTTATCTTTCTCTTTCTCTCTCTCTCGCTCTGTCTCTCTCTCTCTCTCTCTCGCTCTATATGTATATATAGCCGATCGGTGAGGTGCCAATTTTGCTGATTTCTTCGCCACTGTTGACAGCATAGCGATTTCCCTACACCTGGTTCTTCTTTCAGGGCATCAATTTGCTGTTATCCTTCCTTTCCATCCCTAATCACTAATAGCCCAAGGGCATCACCGCCCAAACACAAACCAAGCACTTCCCCTTCACCTCCAACACCGCGTCGCCCTCCACGAAGGTCTCCCGCTCCACCGGCGCCACCGCGGCGAACTCCGCGGCGATGGTCTCGCCGGCCTCCACGCTGCGCAGGAAGGCGGCGAAGGTCTCGGGCGACGCCGCCGGAAGACGCGTCTTCCGCGGTGCTTCGTCTTCAGGTGCATCGTCCTGACGGGTGGTGAAAGATCAGGACGGGTGCATGGTCTTTGTGGAGCTGGTGATGACAGGACCAAGCGGGACTGTTGGCTGGTGTTGTGGTGTGGAGCTGGGAGACATCGATTTGCTTCTAAAATAAAGAAGTATGTTGTCGGTGGATTTAGCCGTTGTGGACAGTGGTGTAGGTGTAGGATCACCAAAACTAGTCCACTAAAAAAATTGTCACATGCATTAAAGTCGGTCAGGTCTTCACTACAAATATAGGTATAGTATGGTATAGTCCTGTGTGTAAGTGCATCATGGCAACCCGAAACTGGGTGCTCTTGAATTAGCCGGAGGTGCTGTTCAGAGTTTGTCTACATGAGACAAACGGACTCAGTTTCCTACTTATTCACATCTGGTGCTTTCAGGATGGATCTCTTGCGAGCGGGTTTTGCCCGCTTCCGTGACCTAGCCGCTTTTCTCGAAGCCGCTTCTCACCTGATTCCTCACTGCTTCACTGCCGATGTCGGCTGTGTGCTAAACATGAGACTGCCGCCCTCGCGCGCCAGCCACACATCTGGTTGAGTGTGTGGAATGTGGAATGTGCGGCGTGTCGTCTCCGCAGTATCCCAAGAACCCGATCGACCTCAACGTCCGCCATGCCGCCATGGCTTGCGAAACCACCGCGTGAAACCGCGAAGCCCGTCGTCCCGTCTTGGGTGTTTCTCCCGTCGTCCCGTCTTCGGTGTGGGCCCTGGTCTCCTGGCACTTCTCTGCCACATAGTTTTGCAAGACGTTCAAGCCCTGGAGCTGCCGCATCAGGACCGGGTTGGTGAACATGAAGCCGCTCAAAATGCCAATGCCAAGGCCTCAGACGGCTCGACAACGCTCCAAACGTGGGTTCCCACCCGGCCTAGTCGGGAAAAAAAACCACCATCATTTGGGGGGGGCCCGGATGAGCCTGGGAAGCATCCACAAGCTTTCGCGATGCCGTGTCCACTTTCGAGATGTGATTGATTTGCGGGATGTCTATGTGTTCTATCTCGTGTAGGTGTCGATGGGGGAACATGACCAAAGTTGAAGCTTGAAGAACCTCGGAGCCTGTTGTCACAGTGCATGTTAGCCTTTGGGGACGGGTCACACCAAAAAAACAAAGAAACGTGCCAAGGCCTGTGCTTGCTCTCACTTCCCAAGTCTCGGTCGAAGCCTGCGGACCGGCCCAGGTTGGATTTCTGCCATCGACTGGCCAAGACATAGGCCCGGGTGAGCTGGTCTGCAAAGTCCACGAAGGTGAGCCGCTTCAGCATCTCTTCATCCTTGGCATCCAAGGCCTGGGGCTGGCGGACGTTCGGCAAACATTGTGGGGTCAAACCGGAGAATGGCTTCGTAAAAGGCAGCTCAAAAGACTTCACCATTCATGGCAGGTGTTTGAAAACATGTTGTAAACATCTGAATGGCATGTTGAAACACTCAAAAGAAAACCAGTAAGCATGTTTTTCGGACACCTGAATGGCAGGTAGCTTGTGTCCTTTAGAACCGGGAACCTCTCGACCAGACTCGCTCCGAGAACCCATCAGTGAATCCATCAGGCGGCGGTCAACGGCGTTGAACCACCACACCCAGGACTCCAGGACCCAAACCCAAAAGATGTCCAGTCCATGAAAAACATGTCCTTAGCCCCGCAAGGTGTTCATCAATGAACAAAAACCAGACATCGAGCCGGCTTGTCCAGTCCTACGCCCTTTTTCGCGGTGGTCTCGACCAAGATCGATGCGCCTGCAGCTCTTCCAAGCTCATCTGGCTTTCATAGAAGGGCCATTCCGGCAAGGGAGGTGCAGCACCTGTGTAGCGTCCTACAGACGCTTCCGCCTGGATGGGTGTGAGCTTGCCGATGTCGGTGATGACCTGCTTGGGAGGCCATAAGGTACCTGAGGATCGGTTTTGGTCCAAGGCTTTTGTTTGAGAAGAGGCAGCCCAAATGAAGCTTTTGAGAAAATAGAACCCTCAACATTCGTATGTTTGCAGCAAGTAGTAACACGCACCGCACACCTCACACCCACTTTAAAAAAAAAAAATATATATATATATATATACACACACCTAAATAGTCCATAATAGTCCATATCTGGGTCCTTTTGAGGTCCGTTTCGGCGTTTTAGTGCCTTAGGCAGCGAAAACGAGATACCAATAAGAACCGAACAAATTGCGGAAAAATGGGAGAACATACATGGAAACATGGAAGAAACATGATGATGTGTCTGTTCCGACTCCGGTCACTAATTGGGCATCTTGGAGGCATAGCAGGAACAACAACCGCAACTGACCAACGAGCAAGACACAAGCATAACAGCAAGCGAGCGAGCGAGCAAGCAAAGCAAGCCAAGAAAGTCAAACAAGCCGGCCGGCCAGCCAGCCAGATTTGTATTGTTCTACCGTATATGATAATGGTTGTTTGGAGGTGCCCAAACCAACCAAACAGCTCAACAGGGATCCGAAACAAACCAACAAAACATAACAAAACCAATCCAATGATCACAACTCCAAATAACGTTCAGAGATCTGCCTTGGGGAAAAAAAAGGCGCCACACAAGTTACATAAGAGACAAAACAAGAAAAACCTCCTAAGCAAAGCTGTAGGCCCTACTTGTCAAGCTAAAGGCCCCTGAGGAGTACGAAGCTTCCTGAGTCCATGCAATGGGAAGCAGCTATGAACAGTTGCACTCCCTGAAATAATCATGGCAGAAAAGGATGGCCTAGGGTTGCTGAAAGACAATTGCCCCTACAAACGGTGGTTGTCGAAAGTTAAAAACTCGGAGTGTAGGCCTGAGGCTTGAGAAAATAATTTCAGGGTGATTTTCGGGTCGTTTCGATCCGCAACTCAGGTGGATGTTGCTTGACCAAACTGTCCCCAAGCCAAAAAGTTAAAAAGAAGGGTGCAAACCTTAGATCCAAATGATCTCAACCGGATTCAACTGGTGAATAACAGTTATATGTTAAAACAATGCTTTAGAGGACGAACCCGTAGTTCCGAGGCTACTAGTACTATGCCATTTATATCATCCATTTACTGCTTTGCATCACTGGTGCGTGGGCCCATCTACGCACTCATCTTTCTCTGCAAGACCTGTCCTCCAGGTACGCCCTGGGCCCTGAGACAGTAGGGGACTGAGTGGCCATACTGATTTGCCACCTAAAAACGCAGCCATGAGGAGGAAGCCATCCCAAAGCAGTCAGGGAGTTGTCACTCCATAAGGAAGGCCAGTGCTTTCAATTTGTGTCAAGACTGGTCAACTTGTACCTGCTTTGAAAACAGTACAATCATATCATAAATATGAAGACTTCTTCGTATCCTCATCTCGTGGCCGGCACAAATTGCCCTGGCATTGTCCTTAAGACGAGTCTGGACAAAAACTGTGTGATAACTAGGTCTGTCTGTAATTAATGCAATGCATGCGATATTATGTGATGTATGCATGTATCGTAGGTAACGTATGTAACATATGTAATGTATGTAATGTAAGGTAATGTAGGTCTGTCTGTATGTATGCATGGATGTATGTGTGTATGTGTGTATGTATCTATGTATGTATGCAATGTATGCATGTATGCATGGATGTATGTATGTAATGTAATGTAATGTAATGTAATGTAATGTAGTGTAGTGTAGTGTAATGTAATGTAATGCATGACTGTCTGTCTGTATGGATGGATGCATGTATGTATGTAGGTACGTACGTATGTATGTATGCATGCATCTATGTATGTTCATGTATGTATGTGAGTGATTCTATGTGATTGTATATGAACTTTCTGCTCGACATAAGATACGAAACCCTAAACAAAAAGCGGATCAACAGCATGAATGTGTCGAACCCATGTAGGATCAACATCGACGGACCGAGTGACGGACCGAGTTCTCCCACCGAAGTCCATCGTTCTCCCCGCCCAGCGTCCACCGCCATCTCTGGATCCTGCGCGTCCAAGTCTTGTGCCAGCTCCACCGGCTTCGAGCTCGCGCGAGCCCGGTGGCGGTATCGGGGGTTCCCACGACGGTGGCTGCACAAATGAGAAGGGCGACAGAAAAGGAGAAAGCCCACGGAAAAGCTCAAGCACTGAGCTTGTCTTCCTCACTCCAGTTGGAGCAGAAATCGCTGTTTGAACATGATTTGATCCGTTCGAAACGCATGTTGCTATTAAAATATATTAAAATGTTTCGAAACAGTTCAACAGAATGCTGGAGAGAAAAAACATGAGAAAAAACCAGTGGTCGAGCAAGTGTTGGCGGAACATTCCGGCCAATCTGACCAAAAAATGTTGGTCTCAGCCAGATCTGCGGAGCACTCCATCCGACCAAGGCGGATTTGGCAGTAGCTGTTGGACTGGACATCGCCAGCTAAGCGCGAAAACATACATCAAACAAGAACGCATTGTCTTCATGCATGGACCAATGATAGTCAATCCCATCTTTCAAGAACCTGCTGACTTCAAAGTGAGTGTTCAACAACCTTTATCTGCACTACCTTTCTTCAGTCACTTAGGCTGAGGCTTGCAAACGATCATTTAGGGACCCGATGATGGAACAAGCCACGGCGCTGATCCTTCCACCTTTGCAGTTGCTGCTCGGACCGCTGTGAACACCACCGTCGAGCGCTCCGGCGTTTGCTTCGGCCCCCCGGGCGCCGGAGAGACCCGGTCCCACGCCGACGCCAACGCCGCGGTCCGATCGGTCGAAAGGGACGGTCCGCTGAAGGGTTTCTATCGGTTCGTCGTCCAGGTCACCGGAGAAGGCCATGATAGGTCATGTGCCAAATACCGCGGCTCTCGCCACGGCCGTTGGAGCTCCTACATCAAATCTGTGGACCGTCAGATCTGTGCAATTGTGATGGATTCATTCATTGATCATGATAGGGCCTGTAGACGATGCAGGGTGAAAAGAATAGAAGCCCCGCACTAAGCCCCGTCTACGAGGACCATGGCCTCACGGCGATGATGCTGTTTGTCCCCTCTTCCTGGCCATTTTCCAAGCATAGGATACCACCCAGTCACCATCAGTTATACCTATATATATCCTGGATCTTACTGGAGAGCAGGAACATCAACGGAATTCTGTCCCCTGAAGCATCCAGCCGTGCCGTCTGAAAGCATGTCGTTTTGTTTCGTTCCAAGGTCATGGCTAGCAACTTCGTTGGCGAGATTCAGCAGGATAAGTGAAACCTCACAGCGGCTTCACCCTAGGGCACAAAGGACCACTGAGAGGATGCAGGGACAAGTGAACGATTGGAAGATTTGGAAGCACCGCCAAAAAAAAAAAGAAATTCAAGTTCCGCTGTATCACCACGCAAAAAAAAAAGTAACGTGAAACGAGCACACAGCACGAAAGCTAGAGAGAAACCCCAATAGCAAAGGGCAAAGGAGTTGCGGTTTCACTATGTGACCTTTGGATGCTGGTGGGGATCGCAAGGTTGCACGTGGGAGGCGAAGCTTGCAGCATGTGCAACGGGAACTCATGAACGCGATGATTTCGGGGAGCGCACCATGTAAAACATTGTAAAACACTTTCCAAACAAATAAAGAAAACTGCCATCAGTCACAAAGGGGTGCTATCCATAGAGGAAGCCGGGGTGCCCCTGTCACATCCACTCACTGGATGGGACGAGCCACACCACCCCGAGCTCTGTGACTCCTGGTGTAACTCTCTCTCTCTCTCAAGAAAGTCTCTGAATTCCTTCCAAACCCGCTGGGCTCCCCAACCAGGACCTGAGCGGTCCGGTCTGTCCACGCGGGATGGGAAGCAAAGCTTCCGGTGGATCCAGCTCCACGGAACAGTCCGGAGTCCCGGTGAGCCGCTGTGCCCCAGATGAAAGGCTAGATGAGAACTCAAAAGATTCAAAACCAAGGCTTTGGGTGGGGGCTCCACCTTGGAAGTGACTGATGCCTGTAGCCTCTCAAAAATGCTCAAAAATGCATGGCGTTTCACAGAAGAAGACTTTGGCCAGGACAAAGCGGATGTTCATTCAGGGAGGTTGCCTTGGGTGAGAGTGCCATGATTCGGCAAAAAGTGGTGGGAAGGCCAAACCTGTGAATATGCGGTGACATGCGGTGACCGTGTTGTGTCCCTTTTCTGTGGATCACTTTGAATCCGCTTGGTGACAGAAGTACACCCACCGTCATGTGGATTGTCCAGGTTATCCCAACCAGTGAATGAAAAAAACACACGGATATGTCAGGGCGGCCAGAATCCCAAGGGCGGTTCCTTGGATCCCTTCCTTGACAGGCGGCTACTTGGTCAAATCATTTTCCGTACCATGTTCATCCTTTTTTCCAGTGTCTGGCAAAAAAGATCTGAAGAAAAAGGAATGAGTGACCATCTCACTGGGCATTTCCTTGCTTGCGAATGATGAGCAAGGGGGGGGAACAGAACCATCCCCGCCGATTGGTTGGTCACACGTTCCCTCCGACCCATGAGCCATTTCATGACATGAGCTTTGTCACCCCAAGTCCACATTAACTTTGAACATCTTTGAACTAAAGAGATGACTTCCAGGACCTTCCAAGTCCGGTGGTTGCTGGACACCCGAGAAAACCATCTCTTGACGTCGGTCCGAATGCTGAAGTACAAGCAAATTCTGCGACTCGACTCGTCGACCCTGGAGAATCTGAGGAATTCATATGGCCACTCAGCCTCTGGCAAACACCATGAGGTCGTGAGATTTCCAGACCAAACCCCGTGTGTCGACATGCGGAGTTGGTGAAGGTTGCGTGCTTCCCACCAAAAGTCCAAGAGCCATATATATATATATATGATATATGTGTGTGTGAAAAACGACCGTTCCCCCAAAGAATGTGAGAGCCTTGCCTATAGCCATGTACGCTTGGCGAGTCAAGTGACAGTGACCCAACCCGATGGAGCCGGAGCAACACCGTATCCGCGCCGAACCCAAGCTGTGCCCCATTTGGATGCCCTTGACAGGCACAGGATCCATTCCACATGAGGTCACCATCTTGCCCCTGAGACGACTTTAAGAAAAGAAAGAAGAAGTTAATAAATAATATGTTGATATTCTATACTAAAATATCTAATATCATATAAATGGTCCCACCAGTGGTACAGTGAACCAGGGAAAGTCCTCTACACGCCCCCTCTTGTCGCAAGCCCCCTACATCTGGCAGTCCCCAAGTCGGACAAGAACGCTCCTGCGCACCCGGTCCACTTGCCGAAAGATGTAAACCACCGTTCCACTGCGTTCCACCGTATTCTACCATGGTGTTTCACCGTGACGCTGTCCGGTCGAAGGTGACGGATGATTCATGTGGCAAGTTTGATATCGTGTCTGACACCTCATCCCTGTCATTTTGCACCTTTTCTGAAGGCGATTTCTTCCGTTCGCTCTGCTTTGGAGCCGTCCTATCTACACCCGGTCTCGTTCGGATTGAACACAGAGGAAAACGACCTCACCTAAGATCTATAGGGACCTGCTGTAGCGTGGGGAACACCGTGCACTTCGAAGGGTACGTGGGTTAGGCAAACGTGGCACACTCGCTGGAATCAATCGAAGTGGATGGTGCCAGCTGTTGGGTATTCCGATTGAAACTGGTCATCCGAGTAGAGAATCGGAGCCGTGCCATCCCCACGGCCAGGCCGATGATGATTTCAAGAAATGTACAGCAACCATAGGCTTCCAACTTCCAACCACCAGGTAGGCTTGACCGAACCAACTCGTTTAGTCAACGGTCCTGGTGTTTTGTGGATCACTCGTCTGTTTTCGCTCTGATCTCGCTCTGATTCTGGGTGATCTGTCTGTTATATGATTTCATCCAAGCCTTCTTCCAACAACACGATGTGTGAATCTCAACCCCCCGTCCAAAAAAAAATCGAAAAAGAGGTTAGCTGAATCCTCCCGTGACCGGCCCGCCATGCTGTCCACGACGTCTTGTCAAGTAGACATGGATGGCGTGATCGCGTCCCCGCGTCTTCTGCACGGCATCAGCGGTCTTGGCGTTCAGCGTTCTTGGCGTCCAACACCATGCCCTTGCGGTTTCGGAATAGCGGGCGGGAGTCTACACCTGTGCCACCTGCGTTTCGTGCAGGTTTCTGAATGCACACATTCATTGGGTCTATCCCATTACCTGTATATAACAGTAGATGATGATGGTTAGTAAAGGCCTTGCATGGTTAAAAAGGATTATAATTGTTTACTGACTGTTAAAGGTAATAGCACAGAACCAACACATTCTTGTATATACTTGTAGTTTCGCGGACAAAAAGGCATCGGCTCCAACACGTCGTTTCACACCGCCACTCCCGGTGTGCACTGAAAGCGTGTGTTCTGTGCCTCGTGTGCTTCTCTGTGCGCCGAAAACGCGTCGCCTGGGTTTGTACCGTATATCGGAGACCGGATATACCGCAGAGACCGGATGTACCGCGTAAACAGATCTATTGTCTCAGCACTTGGTGGAAAAAAATGAGTGCTGTTTCCTGCTAGTCCATGTCAGTATTGAAGCAGAACGCGGATCTTTGGTACCGTCTTTGGCATATACCTTCTTGAGGACATGGGTGCAAACACTAGGGATCTTCCATTCTCCTATCATGTGTCAAAATCCTCCTGCAGCTGGTTTGTAGCTGTTCCAGTTGCTTCAGTCGTAGGCTGGTGGCGGTGGCGGGGAGGGAATGACGATGAAACATGTCCCAAACATAGCATGACGATGAACATAGATGACCCTCCAGGACCACCAAAGCGGCAAATCTTCATAGGTTCTGTGTGGGATCCGGATATGATGGGCGAACATCCTTGCCAACTCAGCGAAGAAGTGGAAACTGACACAAGAGAAACATCTTGCAGATTCTCAATGGTTCCCATGAAAAATCATCCGTTGGACATTCTCTGGGATTCGCTGGCAGCAACCTGGAGACACATTCCGCCAGGCCTTGCCACTCATAGCGTGGTGCCCTGCTCTGCTTGAAGCTCCTGAAAAGTGGAGTTGCAATTCAGGGGCGTCTGTCTAAAGTGTTCGGAGAGTGTGACTGGCAAACTGAACTTTCATTTAAAAAGACATGACAAAAGCATGGCCGTAGTCGTAGAACAACAAACACATCATTTGATTATACAAAATATTAAAGGCTATTTTCTGTGATGTTACTCACTGAAAACAGTCGGTCTAGGTGATTTGCAGCCATCCGACAGGGACCCAAAGGTGTTTTTTGAGCGGCGTTGCCGCCGCTCCGACCGAGCTGGTGCGTGTCGCCGAAAATGACCCAGTCCCCGAGTAGACTCATGTTGCAACAGTGAATGATGATGATGATGATGATGATGATGATGATGATGATGATGGTTAGCAGCTAGGCCCTTGCTCTGAAATAGTGACGTTCTTGTTGACCGACAGTTGCCTGTAAAGATGGGACGCCACCAAAGTAGATCTGTGTTACCTTGATGTGTTCTTTTGGGGCATTCTGACAGCTTTCACATCCGGCAGGCCCCAGGGTGATTTTGGGGCGGGTCCGTTTTTGCGCAGCTCCAGGCCAAATTGTACAGCAACCACCTGCTTTTCTGACCTTCACCTGGCACTCCCCCACATCAGCGGCGCCATGTCAGCATCCAGCTGATCCACCGCTCCTTCACCACTCCTTCGGTTTTCTTTGGGCGCCCCAAACCCCCCCCAAACCGCACCACGAGTGGGTGAGGACCGGACCGGACCGGAGCGCCGGTTCCCGCCGCACTCCTTCAGCATGCGTTGTTGCTTCAGCTCCAGCTGCAGGTCTCGGAGCTCGGTCAACATCCCATCCAACTTGTCCTGCAGATGTCGGCGGCTCGGTCGGCTGGTGCAGATCTCGACGCTTCTGTGCTGCGCAGCTCCGAAAGAACAGATCCGGATGTGATATCATGTGAGATATATACCTAGACCTCATTTGACCTCTGTTTTGATAGGAAAAGACCATGTTTGGTCTCCAAAACAGGGGTCAATCAGGTTCTAGGTATAGAATATATTAGCATATTGTGCAGCAGCTTGGAGTTCGTTTTTAGAAGATGCTGCGATGTTTGGGGGGATCGCTGCACTACGAAAGGCAGCGTGAGCGAGCGTTGAGCGTTGGCCCGCGAGTGGGAAAAAAAACTGAGATCCTATGAGGATATGCCCTGGCCTCTTGAACTACTCTCTACCTTGGCCATACCAACATGTAATAACATGTCAATAACGATGTGGAGACATTCAACTTCCAGATGAAATTCTATCAACCTGCGACCAGCCTGGAACTATCTCACCCCATTCCCCACCCCTTTCGCACCACCAGTTCGGTCCCTGATGGCTGAGGAGAGCTGCGACATGGAGCGAGAGATGCTCTTCCAACTGTCCTGATTGGCCTCCACCTGCGGTGGTTAACACTCGTTTTTGGGGTTGCGGCGGGTTACTGGTGGTCGGAGAAACAAAACATATCTAAAAAGAAAAGCAACTGGCCCGCGCTCCGGGTGTTTTCCGGGGCTGGATGTGATTTCCGGGTGCTGAGTGGAGGGCAAGGATACAAAAAGCAAGGAAAATGGGTTGCTCATGGATGTCCTCTTGCTTGGTGGTAATCTGCATCTGCTTGGAGCCACCCTGCATCATTCCGCAAGATGACATACTGTATCATGTGTGGAAGTGGAAACTGCTTTGCTGGCTTGGACTTCTTGGCCCTCTCCAGGCACCGGAGTTAGAACCACCAACGCCTCCCTTGGCACACCAACACCATTCGTCGCCTAAAAAGGCATCACTTCTCCTCTACCCGCACGCCGAGCGGCGAAGCTCGCGAGGTAGTTGGTCTGCTCTTGGATCCGCATGAAGCGATCCTCCGCGCGCTCCGCGCGGAGCTGACACCGGAGGGTGGCGAGATGGTGTTGGGGATGACTCGGCGTTCTTTAGGTGGAAAAAAAGCACCCGTAAGCGGGAAGTTGTCAAGACGTAGCTTCAATTTTTTTTGACCTTCTGATGTGTAACTCTCTTCTGAGGAGATTAGTCAGTCTAGTCTAGAAAGTGTGCAATTATCCCCTTTGATATTAGCACAAAGGGGTCGTTCCACCCATTCTCTAGAGAATCATCTAGAAAATGAGGGGGCCTGACACCTGCTGCCTCTAGAAAATGTCCATGAAAATTCTGTTCATTTTCTAGTGGGAGAAACGTGTTCACTAGAAAATGGTGGGGTACAGGTTCAGAGGTCGTACCCCCAACAGACTAGACTTGCTCTTTCAATCAGCAGAATGAGTGCTATACTCACTGGTGCTTGTCTTTTTTTCAACTTGTTGATCTCTAGAAAATGCTCCTCTAAAACCCCTATCCAGGCTCTAGAAAATGACCCTTGAAAATTTGTGGTCATTCTCTAGTGAGGTACCTCTCCTCTAGAAAATGGTGGGGTACAACCTTGGAGGTCGTACCCCCGCATCAGTTTTCTAGAAAATGACCTTGTTCTAGGGGACCACGACCCCCCCCATTTTCGAGAGGAAATACCAACAGGGATGTGCAATTACCCTCTCACCCTGGGCATCCTAGATCCAGCAACAACTTCCGCCCAGTCAACCTGGGCACGGTCCAATCCAAGTTTTGTCCAATATCGGAGAGGTGGAGGACAATGTGGCTGCGAAACCCCCGACACAACCCATGAAACTGGCATATTTGTTTTGTTCAATTGGGGTGGTTGAACAGGGGTCAACAGGTGTGCACTATATATATACATGTATATATATATATATGTGTGCGTGTGTGTTTCTTATTCTTGCGTATATATAGCATGTTATATAGGCGCTGTATTCCATACATGGAGTGGTCTCAGTGAGGTACGGCAAGTGAGTTACATATCGTTTAGGGCCCAATGGATAATGGTTTAGTTAGTGGGGTTCTAGTTTTGAACTAGTTCTGCAGGCCTTTCCTCCCCACAGTTTTGGTGGGACCACGCTTGGTCTTTGAGCCTCCTAAGCCTGGCCTGGCGAAACAGCCATCATCCACCTGATCTAGACGACCCGATCTCGGGCGCAGGGCGGTCCTGTTGGTTCATGCCCATACTGGTGCCTTCCAGGAACTTCGATTGCCCAATGGGAAACCACTTGGCCTCGGGGGCCGGAACTTCGTCTGGAAGGGGGCCGTCAGGTTTGGAGCGGCAGAAGAAAAGCGATGGATCTGTCTGGGGGCGACGGTGGTTCCTCAAAGGAGGCCTCAAAGGCGAGGGAAAAGCAACTGTTTTCGTGGAATGCTCAGTGCTTGTAAAGAGAGGTAGAAAAATCCATGGCCAGAATTGCCCAAATGGCAAACCTGGTCTTGCCAGACTTTTTGGGAGTGTCTTGGCATCACAATCGTTTCTCCTACCCACCTGAGCCTCTTGATGGCCTTTTCTCCGGTCATAATCCAGATCTATGGTCAACAAGGCTTCCTGTCTTTCACAAATGACTTATGACTCTTAAATACTCTTACTCTTACTTGCTGTCTGAGTTCCCAAAGAGTTCAGTACATTTCACGACCTTCAAGGAGTCCAAACTTGAACTTGTGGGCTGTGACATCTGCTCTGCTGTGTAGCTGCATCACCTTTGTCCATGAGCTGCCGGATGTAGTGTTCCGGGCCAGTCAAGTCCTAGTGCATTTGCGGTTCTACCTGAGCACCATACATACATTCATGGTCTATGATGTTGCTCCCCTTGATCAAAAATGGCCCCCAAATGGTCCCAAGCGATGGGTTAGAAGTGACTCTCTACATCATTGGCTTCAGGGATCGGTTGATGTGCTCTCCCTCCCTCTCTCTGCCGATCAGCAGGTCCCACAAAAAACCACTCGGCCCGGTGAAGACTCCGGGATTCTGTCGACTTCTTCGCCACGCGGCACGAGGAGAGGAGAGCTATCCAAGGAGGCGGGTTGGTGGGCAGAGAGGGACAGAAGTGACTCTGAAGCATCATTGTTCATGGTTGATCGCATTTCACAGCTGTTTGATATATATATATATATATACATGATATACTTTGTATGCATATATGTATATGTGTATGTGTATGTACACATGCTTTTTCTATGATATACTGATATATACATTTATACTGTGTATATATATATAGATGATTATACTATATATGACGTCTGGAACTCGATCGGCTTCTACTCGGTCACATCCTGACCGGCAACAGCACCGGTTGACACACATAGACCGGTCAGGATGGTCCTCCAGCTGCGCTTCACACAAATGGAAGATAAAGGCCATGTAGTCCTGGGCGCTGCTTGCGGCAAGCGGTCCAACATGGCTGCTGGTGGCAAGAACACGCAGCACCCAAATGAGTCTGTGTTTAAGCCCCTGTTTCACGTGTTTCAAACCAGTAAGCCAAACTATGCTTTGCTGGGAGTGTTCCCTTCTTGCGCGCAAGCAGGGCTCTCCGGAACGTATTCTTTCTCCTTCCTCATGGTCTGCCATGATCTTTCATGACTCCAGCCAACGGCGCTTCGTGTTTTTCAACAGCGACTTCCGGCAACCTCTCCAAACGACAAAAACAAGAGCCAGGCACCCACTTGTTCTGCCGATAGGTCTCGTGGAACCTTGGGTTGCTGAAGTTGCTGATCCGGTGAACTCAAGAACTGTTATGTAGTCATATGGTCATCTATTGCTTTTAAAGCACCTCTGGTAGCATAGAGAACCACCAACCCAAAGCACCAAACAAGGTGAGGCAGAAATATGAATTATACAGTATATATAGTTGAGTGAATTCCCAAACTTCCCATATACACCTTTACTGCACTAGGAAAAACATCAAGGCCACTAAAGATTTCTTATATTGATTTATTGCAAAATGTTGTAGAATGTTGTAGATGTGTTCTGGCGGAAAAATCCTGCTTTGTTGCGGCAATTATCCCGGCAAAAGACCCCAAACAGCAACAGTCAAGCATGAAAAATCATGGAGGCACACCAATGAGAGCACACAAAGCAAACCATCACCTCAGGAACCCCTTTAGCTGCAGGCAAATGCATGCATCAATTTACATTGAAGCTACAAGCACATGGAACAAAATGGCCAGAGAAGAGAAACATGAAGAAACCCAAATCCCCATGCAGCCCAGGCACTCGAAGCCATCAGCAATGCCATGACTTTGGGCCACCTGCTCCACATCTCTTCGGTCGATGCCTCCGCTGAGTCGTCGACTCCGGCCCGAGTCTGGGCGACCCGAAGGCGAACGGGGGGCCCGAAACCCAACATGAATGGATACACATGGGGGTGTTGAGGGTCCAGACCCCTACCATGGAGGGCCCAAGGACTTTGAGGGTGAGAACTTTAGATGTTCTTTGGGCCTTTTGATTTTGGAGCGAGGCCTACAATCTCATCGGAGCATGGACATTGGTCGACAAAATGATCACCGAGTTGGTTCAGATCGTGTCTCAGACAGACATGAATCTCATGCCTTAATATTCAACTCGAAGCTGTAGAGAGAGAGAGAGGAAAAAAATTCAGCTGTTCCTCTAGAATGTGGCAGGTTTGGGCCGTTTGAGAACACCAAACGACTGGGTCCTCTTTGCATCTCGGCCCCCGATCGATTCAATCGGGAACATGACTCGACCCCCAGCAACCCGAGCAGGCACGCTTTTCTTGTCTGACTGACACATGAAAGCGGACAAGATGGACCCCTGGAAAGGAAATCAAAAAGAACGAGTCTTACTTTCTTCTATACAAAAAGGACATGCTTTTCATCCGTTTTCCACTTCCATGTTGCCGGAAGTGGTGTGGCTGTGGGGAGCTGGCACCAGCAGACCAACTGGTTGACCTACGGAGCTAGTCATTGCGAGCTCCAGGTTTCTACGTGTTCCCCATGTGGCTTCGATCCATTCGTCCCGCTTCGATCTCGGCCGGCCCAACGGCCCAAGGCACAAGAGATGAAGGTTTGCGTCTGCTGATCATTCTCCCGCGCTTCCATGTCCAGGCGCAGGGCTCCAAAGGAATCCACAATGAGACCTACCTTAGGACCCGACCGTGCGAGCTCCGAGCTGGAGTTTCTGACCGTGGATTGAGAGTTGAGGTGATCAATATGAACCGTTCTCATAAAAGAAACTTTGGGGGTTGCGCCATCTATACTCTGAAACCACTGTAGACATCAGTCAACTGTGGTGTCTGTTGTCCGGAGGCACCAAAGAGAACGAAGGATTCATCTCCGAAAGGAAAAACCGGATGCGTTGAAAATGGTGGTGGCTTGGCAATTTGGGGGGCGAATCAGTCTCACACGTTGTTGGAGATGGCACATGGCTCACTCCTGCTGCAAAACATCGCATTCAATATCGGCATCAGGACAAGCCCTGATACGATCATTCCTCAATGACCGGAACCGCTGTTGGTGTCCCATGGCACCAGACGCGCTGGCTCCCCAAACATCCAATCAAAGCTAGGCTGCCAAATGCCAGCCAATGCCTACCACTTAGCCCCGTTCCCTCCTGCATGGACATGTTCATGATGAAAACAATTGGACTTATAGACATTTCCTCCAGACCGTCTGCACTTTTTGGCCATCCACCCCCTGAAATACCATCTTTGGCGCTATCAGCGCTACCCGGCCACTTGTCCCACCCGCTTATCCAACGGCAAACAGTTGCCGTCAGTCAAGGCACCACAGTGTTCAGCACGATGACTCCGAAAATAATGAAGTAGCTCATGTCCTAAGCTGGACAAACTGCAGCTTTGTGGTCCTGGATTTGCAATACTTTCTGGGACAAGAAGAAACCATCTTCTCCGAAGACTTATTCTTCTTCTTATTATTCTTCTTATTCTTATTCGTCTTCTTCTGTCTTTCTTCCTTCCTTGCTTTCTTGCTTGCTTTCTTTCTGTCTTTTCTGTTCTGTTCTGTTCTTTTTCGTTTATTTATGTCTGTCTTTCTTTATTTATTTATTTCGTTATTTCGTTATTTATTTATGTATTTCTTTACTTATTTAGTTAGGTTGCTTTTTTCCTTCTTTATTTATTTATGTATGTCTTTCTTTGTTTCTATAGTTGTCTTTGTTCCCCACCTGCCAGGTGAGGGTTGTTAGATTTTATCACAGTTGTTCTTCCTCCGCCTCCGCCTCCGCCGCCTCCTCGTCCTCCTCCTTCCTCCTTCCTCCTTGCTTCCTTCCTCGCCAATCTGCTTCGCCGATCTTGTCTGGCCAGCTCCGGATCGCAGTGTGCATCCCTGGACCTCAACCGCAAGGATCCGATCGCA